TCAATTCTTCCAAATACTAATTCCCTTTCAGCCCAACTCTTCCAAATACTAATTCCCTTTCATTCCAATTCTTCGAAATCAAATTCCCTTTCATCATCAGGTCATCAGCTTTATTAGGGGAATGTGATCTCCCAAACCTCCAATCTCAAACCTTGTTGACCTTGTTGACGTTGATTAATCCTACGTCGACATTACAGGAAAGGTCGCCCTTTGGGCGTTGTTGAATGTCATGAAAAAATCCAGTGGAGCAACATCAGCAACTTGGGGCATCTAAGTGTTTGTTGCACTGCAAGCTTATGTCATCTTCAAACATCAAACATGTTGAAGCATTGACGACTTCCCGTCCCTCCTCTAGCGGCTTGTCCGTCCTCATATCTGATTTATCTATTTCCAGATTCTCCAGGAACCGTTTACGGTCAGCTACTACCACCTGCACCAATGCCAATGCCAAGACAATCGACTCGCCTTCTCCGATCGAAAAAGCTCCCTATCGCCTTCTCTGCAGGAGATTCGCAAGCAGCTGCGGCACTTGTTTCGCACAGCGGATCTCAATCACGACGGCACTTTGACCTGGGACGAGTTTGTGCCTCGCCACCAACTGCTCCGCCAAAACAATGCTGTTTTGCCTGCTTTGCCCTTTTGTTTGTTGCCTCACCTGGTGGTGGTAGGTGACACAAGAGGAAGGTTTGCTGCGGCCATTTTTGTCTTAGCCGGAAGTGCAGCTGCAGTGGAAGTCTGCGTGCTTTTTTCTTCACGGTTTTCCTCCATGGAACTCCCGTTCTTCGCAGCGATGGGTTCATGCGCACGCGTTCAGGAGCGATTCTTGGACAATGAGGAGCAGTCCCGCTATTTCTTGAATGTTCTTTGCATGGACGCGCGCGAAGCCAAAGGCGCCGGGGCGGTCGGTCCGGACATCGAACCTCCCAAGGCGCCGAAAGCGAAGCTGCGCGATGCGGTCCGATGCTGTCCGAAAGGTCCAGTGGTCTGAGACCTTCAGGTTTCCAAGGTCCGAAAGGTCCAGTGGTCCAGTGGTCCAGAATGCAGCCGTCACTGTTATGTCGAGTGATGGCCTGGCCTGGCCTTACACCACAGTGATCCATCTCGGCGGAAAAGATGGGAGAGGAGGAGTCCCCAAGCTATGGTAACAGGTCCTCGTGCTTTCGTGGGGGGGACTTTTTTGGAAGATCTCTCCAACTCCGACGAGCTATGTTTTAAGAAAACGCGGACGGAAGTGACCGCCCGGCAGGCTTGTTCTTGTTGCTGGACACCCGCGAAGTGGGCCAAGTCAGCTTTGAAGAACCTTGGCTTAATCTTTACAAACAAGATTGAACAACGATGTTAATGATGTTTGTTTTGAAGCTACTGTGTCATCCAGGAAGTTGGGAATACAGCAAGTTGAAAGAAACATAGATGATCATAGATGTCCGACATCAATGAGGCATAGATGTCTCACAGAGACAAACATCGAAACCAAACTGAGTGGTTTTTGGAGCGTCCTGTGGGACCCCTCGGGTTGGGCCGATCATGTGTGGCTATCCTTTGCCCTGTGCCGAAAAATTGCTGATCATGCTTGGTGGCATGCGGCTTCTCATCCAACGGCCAAAAAAAGAAGAAGAAGAAGAAGATGATGATGATGATGATGATGATCATGATGATGATGATGATGACGACCTTCAGGAACAATCCTCAGACCGCAACCGGGGGGAGTTCTGTTTTAGTTCATCTTTATACCGTAATATACCGCTTGGGGGTTCCCTTTTTTGGGCGGCCTTGTGTAGGTCCCCCGGTCCCCCCGTTGCCGCTGCTCTCGTGGCGATGCAGGAACTCTTGGATGGCGTCCTGCGACTCAAGGGCACCGCACAGGCCATCGACCTCGCGACGCTGATGTATTGCAACAAGCGTCCCTTGGTAGCGGCGACCGGGAGAGAGGGAGACCTATATATAGATACTATAGAGGTTAGGTTAGGGTTGGAGTAAAGGGCCTCGCTACGAATGGAGCCTTCGAACTCTACGAACGTAGCTCCTGGCATTACTACTAGTAACAAGAAGCTACCAGTAATAAAGGGAAAGGACGTGTGACATCGCCGGTGGAGTGATGGTAGACCTCTTTTTCAGTTCTTGACCGAAAGGGGTTGCTCGGTTGGAGAGGGGTGGGTTGGAGAGCTGGTGTTTTTGGGGGTAGACTAAATGAAGAGATAGATGATCGAAGCTTCACTGGCGATGTTGAGACTGATTGTTGATTCATTGATGGGCCAGTTAGTTCATCCGGCCCCGTGGTGAGCTGGTCCCACTGTGTGGAGCTTTTGTTGAGCCTGGTGGTGTGTAGAGCAGTGTAAGGACCTTAAGGACCTGCCTGGGACTCTTAGGAAAGACCTCTTGGCACTTCTTAAGCATCAATTCCTTGTGAGATGTCACTGTCGAAAGATGAAATTAGGCCAATCTAGCCAAACCAAAGCCGCGTTTGCGTGTTACGAATCCTACGCAGCCCGCCAGGTATGATCACCTGGCTGCGTGAGCGCCTCAACGGGCTCCAAGACTCCTTGGACGCCCTTGCGAGCGATGACGAGCGGGACCACGCGCCGGCTGGTCGGAGCCTACACCCACGTCCTCGAGTGCGGAAGGTGAGCGTCTATGCCAGTTGGAATGAGGTGAAGACCCGAGTCCCTCAGTTTGCAGCTGTTTGGGGGACATTCGATCGGAGGGAGCATGTGTTCGGCAGGACGCTGGAGCTCCTCTTAAATAATTCGATGATATTAGCGACCATCGTAGTAGGACGCTGGAATCTGAATGTCTTTTTCACGCATGGGGAGGGGGGCAGTGCTTGGAAGTCCGGGCGGGTCCGGTCCACTCAATTGATCCTTCGAAACAAACGTGTCAGATGGCAAGCGGCAGATCTGGGGAAGATCTTATAGGTGTTCAAAAATTTCAAAAGATCAAAAGATCTTATAATGTAGACTCTTGATCAATCAAATAACCCCCCAATTTTTTTAAGGTTGGAAGACCTTAGTGGCGTTGTTTTTCTCTGCTCTTTCGGATTGTCGGGCATCCCGAGGTGACCGAAGGTGGAAAGGAGCAGTAGATATATGCGTTCGTCTTTGTGGCTTGGCGGCTCGGTGCCTCAGCTCACGGCTGACACGGTCCTCCCACGAGCTTGACCGTCCCGGCGCTTCGAGGGCCGAAGAATTGAAAAGAAGTCGGACCCCCAAAGCTGGGCCGAAGATTCATCCACCTTTTTTTGCGCCATTTTTCTGGTTGGGGGGCGCCTTGCATGTGGTGTTTTGGATGGGGGGAGATCAGGGCAAGATGGCAGGGCAATGAGCAGATAGCTCCTGTGCATTTCGCCTTTGCTCGCTCTAGTGCAGTCTTCTTCGTGCACAGGTGCATGCAATTGTTTAGGCTTAATCATTACCCATAATTCAATGTTCGAAGCTCCGTTGTGCATTGTTGTGCTAGAGCTGGTCTTCTGCTGCGATCATGCTTGCACGTTGTCGATGCCAATGCTACCGGGTCCCCTGTGTTTTGATCGTTTCCAAGATCTTGCCATGCGCCGCTACGAGCCGCGGCTCAGACCAGATTTGGCCACGAATTCACGGCCATCCCTTTGGGCACCCCAAAAAATTGGCGGATGCCCCATCAGCTTGGTCAGATGCGATGTCTCGTTCTTCACCGAACAAGACCAGTCCCCTGACCTGCCGAGCTTGGTGAGCCTTTTTTGGGCGACGTGCCGTTTACCGCGGAGCGGTCGCTCACGCTGGGGAAAAGAGTGCCACTTAGTGCCACTCCTCTCGGTCACTCCACGTCCGAAGACTCCACAAACGATCGACGTCGACATGGACAGATTTGGAAGTTGAAAAAAGTTTGGTGCTTTTGCTGATAGTTTGAGCCTCAAGACAGTCTCAATACCTTTTTCACTCTTTCGGCAGGAAGTGAGGCAACTGCAAACGTCTCGCCCTGACACCTCGAGTCTTTTTTTTTGCGTGGGCGGCAGCACAGCCAAGTCAGCCTGGCCAGCCGATGGAATGCTGAACGATGATGCGGCCAGCCTACTGGTCTGCCTGGCATGTTTGCATTCATGCGTGCGAAAAATCACGGCGTTGAGTGGGTTTTGTAACTACAGGGCCCTTGAAGATTCTGGAAAGATGCCTGAAGACCATACAAATCCTGCTGCGAAGGAATGCAACCAACTTTCGACTTCTCCGTGACGATTCCAATGATTCCCGCTCTTCAAGTTGCCAGTTCTGCGTCAGGATGGCCTTCAGCGACAGACCGTGGTCTTGGTCGGAGTAACCGGTGATGGCAAGAGCTCCACGGGCAATACCTTGCAGCTCGGCAACGGGCACCAAAGCTATCCAAAGCTACAGTTCTGACCAACATGGAAGTGGCGTGTTCCCCCTTTGCTGGTGGAGAGCCACCTCCCTCTTCCGGGAGCCACCTCCCATGGATTTTCCAAGCACACATGTGCTTTTCTGGGGTCAGAATGATGCCTTTTCCTCAATGAAAGGACGTAGATGGACGCGACTGTCGATCCTTGCAGGTGTTGGTGTTGTGGAACTTCTAGAAGCACGGCTTCTAGGGCTTTTAGCTCGGTTCCCTTTTCCCTTCACACCCCTACATGAACAGCAGTGGGGCACGGCAAGACTCCACCTGCATCGGGGTTTGGCTAAGGTGCGGGTCCTCTGCTTTTCCAGTGTCTGCAGGCTTCAAGTCTGAGACACAGGAGCCGCCACGTCCGCTCACCTGTGGCATGTATTGTCAGTTAGCGACGTCCATTGGACAGAGGCCTGAGAAATTGTAAGAACAAAACCAAAGTGTGAGACACTAGAGCCGGATCAAGATGTGCTCAAGTCTTTGGAAACGGGTCACATACTGTACTGTCCAACAAACACCAGCAAACACCAACCACGGCGTCCTCACCCGCTCAACCGGGCCCACCGGTCGGTTCCAACGCTGCCACCGGGGCCCGCCGTCCGTTGGCCACGCGCGGACCGCGCGCCGCGGCAGGAGTTGGCTCATGCGGATTACCTCCGCGGCGCCACGTTTTGGCGCGTCATCGACACCATCGGCCTCCACGACACGCACCTCTCGCAGAAGGAGGCAGGGGAGCGCAGCAAGGAGCCAGGGACGGGTGGGAGAGGTCAAGAGACACGAACAAACACTGTCAATGGGGGTACTAGGCTGTGGCTTGTGGTATCGGGCCATTGTCAGGAAACCTTCAAGAAAAAGCTTTGCACAACTGGGGAGCTACAAAATCTACTACTGTAAGAAGGGGTCATGCCTGGGGGGCAGCTCATGAGCAATTGAATTTGATTGGTCGAATTTAGTAGATGAGGCAAGAACTGTGCGTTTGTTTACTTTGGCCGGTGGGACCCTCTGGGTTTCTTCGAGTCGGGTGCGCCAAGCACCCTCGAGTCACTTGGAGAAATTGGCGCTCTTTCCGCTGCCGACTCAGCTCCATCCTTGGGGATCCAAGAGACTGGGCTCAAGAGGCAGTAGATGGAGGTAGATGACCACCAGAAGGGCATAGGATGGTATAATGGTATAGGTTTGTCTTAGTATCCCTGAAAGTCTGAAAGTCAAAGACTATTTAAAAATGGTCTTTGGATGACCCGAAAAGGAATTTCCTTTACTTGGCTGGTGCCAAAAGTCATCAAAAATCGTGTTTGCACTTCTAGGGGTGTCCCATTGGACTTACAGAAAGTGATCACATCTCCTGGGGGCCAGGTCAGGACTCCCACGGTCTCCTGCAGGTCCTCGAGCGCTTTTCCACCTTTTCCGAAGCAGCCGCCGAAGGCACCAGACCAGCCCGTCGTCATTGGGCCCCAGACCCGTGGGATCTGGGTGCTGACGTAAGGGCCTTGCGGGTTGATGTTGATGTTGAGAGTTTCATGAGGTTTGGGACAGGCTGGTTGGTGCAGGCCCCCACTGTGTGCAGGTATCAGGTGGAGGTTGTGTGTGCTTTTCACCTTGTTCCATACGTGTCCAAACTCTTCATGATCCGGCAGCTTTGAGGGACGATCGGCCTCAAACCCAAGGCTATGACATGATATGACTATCTACGGGTATCTCACACAACACCCTCCAAATTGATCGGTGGCTCACAGAAGAATCTGGTATTCCGTTTGCTGCACCTTCTCCAGCAGTTCCAACTTCTCAGGCATCCCTTGTGCAAGAATCCCCCAAGCTTCAACAGCTCCCCAATCCAACCCACTTCGACGGGTGGACGGAATTGTTTCAGGGTGACTCGTTCAGAAAACGTGTTTCTCCCTCGACCATCCAAAGGGTGTCCAGAAGCACGTGACCTCTATTTGGGATTGCTCACCACCCCCCCAAATGTGTGTTTTCCCCAAACAGTTTAGTTTTGGGGTTCTCTCCTAGGACAAAAAGAGCTGGCCACACTGGCTGGCCGTGCCCCTGAACTCTGTGTCCAGGCTTTATGTCCGGGTCTTGTCCTCCTCTTGTCCCCCTCTTGTCCTTTGGCCGCGTTGGCCAATGACCCTGTGTCCTCCTCTAGTCCCGCGCTGGCCAACCAACCCGACCCTGTGTCCTCCTCTTGTCCTGCTGTTGTCCTCTGGCTGCTCTGGCCAACCTTGTGTCCTCCTCTTGTCCTTCTCTTATCCTCTCTAGTCCTCCTCTTGTCCTGTTGTTGTCCTTTGGCCGCGCTGGACTACCCTGTGTCCTCCTCTTATCCTTCATCTTTTTTGTCCTCTGTTGTCCTCATGTCCTCCTGCTGTCGTGCTCTATGCTTGTATGTTTTCATAGAAGAAAAAACCGTTGTCAGCCTGGGTTCTAGGTCGTCTATGGCCCAAACTTCCTCCAAGGTGATCCTCCTGTGGCCCTGCCGAGCCGGCCTCGGCGGCCGAGCCGGCCTCGTCGACCGGCGAGGCATCGACGTCTTCCTCTTCGTGCTCCGTTGGGGTCGCTTCAAGCCGGAGCACGACGAAGCCCTGGCGGCCTTCGCGGTGAACTGCGGCGAGACGGCCTTGCGCCGGACGGCCTGAGACGGAACGGAACGGAACGAAGGACGGCGAAAGACGCCACCGGAGACGGCGGTTGGACAGGAAGAGAAAGGTGGGGTGGGTGATGGTGGGAGTCAAAGAGGGTCATAGGCCATTGTCTTGAAGAGCAGTCTGACTGCTCATGAGGTTTTCATGGTGCTGGCAACTCTCAACTATAACAGTTGGTGATGAGTTGATGGCAGATGACAACCTGCGAGCGAATGGCTGAGGCCACACCATGCTGGTTTTCACCCACTGTGACTTGGATGACGAGGCACTTTCCAGACAACTGCTGGATACTTGTCATGCAAAATACCTTGGAACGTGGTTGGAGTATCTAGCAGTATCTTGGGAGTCTGGGGGTTGCTTCTTATGGAAAAACCGGCTCAGTCTTGATGAGTGCCCACGAAGAGCCATCAGAAAAACATAGAAAATCATCATCAAAACATAGAAAAAAACAATGAAAAACACAATTTGAGAGGGACACGCTTCGGACCCAGTTCTTCCAAGTCCCTTTTTGCTTGCTTTGGCGGTGCTGCCCAGGATCCTTCGGCACCACCGGCGCTGACGCACTGGCTGCAAAGAATAGGCCTCCGGGAAGAAACACCCCGACTCACCATGGAAATGGACAACCCCCCCGTTGAAAGCAGCCTTCCAACTGACCATGTTCATCCATGTTCCATTTCCAAATGATCATGGAAGTGGATGGCGGATGGTCCCCTTGGATGGCGGATGGTCCTCCTCTACACCACTTGGTCAACGGCTCGATCCCGCTCCTTTGACCCCCCTTGGTGATTCACCGGGTAGGTCACGGAAATTGACCGTATCAACATGATGCAACATGAGAAGTCCCGCACAGTATCAGAGAGTTTTAAGAAAACTCAATGACAAGCAAGTGGAACCTGCAAAGAAACAAGGTCCATTTTGGATCATTTTGGATCAAGTTGAAATAGGTAAGTGAGATTCTACCCATGCAAGACTAAATGAACTGCGACCAGACGCCCGCTATGGGAGGCTTACAGGGAGAAATCTGTACACCTCAGCGTCGCACAGCGACTGGGTCGTATGCAGCAAAGGAAAAAGGCGAAAAGGTAGGATCATCAACTCACTCGCCACAGTGCTTTTCGCTATGACGAACTATCAAAAATGCTGCAGTCATTGGCTCAGGCCAGTGTCGATATGTAAGCGCCTTTTGGCTACAATGGGACTTCACAAGTCACCAAAAAGAAGTCTTCAAACAATTCACTATCAAGCACGGCTTTCAGAGCGCAATTTTCGGTAAAAACCGAAGTTGAGAACCTCCGTCTCTGTAGACCCTCTTGAAAGTCGAGCGGGTCGATTTCCAAAGCGAAAAGCTCGACAAAGCAAAAGGAGCTCGAAGAGAAGATACTATCACGGCAGCTATACCAGCTTGGCTCCAAGAACTCCCAAACAGAGAAGAATGTTTCTTCTTTCCACTCTGAAGAAAATGCCTCACTCATCTCTTGACACACTTCTGCAAACTTGGCGGGTGTCATCACTGTAAGTCGAACACATTCCAAGGCTGGTCCCTGCTATGATCATCTCATGGCTGGATCATATCGACGTGGATAGCGTCCCACAAGGGAAGTGACAGACATGCTGGCGTGAAGGCCTGAGCCACAATGCCTACCATTTTCCTCTACAAAACCGGTGGCGCCATCCACTTCCATGATGATTCCAGGGAGCCGGTTCAGATATGGGATGGTATGGGCTAACAGATTGGAATTGCTGGTTGGTTTCTGTGGCATGACCCCCCCACCAGCCTATGGGAACTCACGCCTTGTTAAGGCACGTTGGCACATGCGCCGCCATGAGAATTGGAAGATCAGGGCAGGATGCTTAAATCCACCAAAGAAGTGAGCAAGTGATTGAAGCATCTCAAGATCAAATTGAAGCACCCTTCCCTTCGCTGACGGGAGGCCCGTACTACTTTCTGCCCCAACTCCAACTATTCCAATTCCAGCACTCCGCAGCATCTGCGGCGTTAGGCGGAGGAGCTGTTGGGATCGACAACCTGGATGGATCGACCGCACGCCCACGAGTCCAACGTGCGCTTGAAGGCGGCCTGGCGATGGGTGCAGACCGAGGCCATCGGTGGATGGATGGTAAAGATGAGTTCCACAGCGTCGGTGTGCGGAATAGAATGCTCCACGCATTATAAAATGGGCCACCAAATGGAGAGGGTTCTTGCGAGAAGTGTGTCCAAGCATGTGCCAGGTGTGACAACGGCAAAAGTACGTAGGCACAGAAGAAGCTAAACATGGCAGGGAGAGGTTTTTGGGGGACAGAGACAAGTGTGGGTCTGCCCCAGTCTCACCAATAGTCCGTATACTGTATAGTCCAAAGTTTTACATCACTAGTTACGGACCCGTGCTGACCATCGCTACGGGTACGGATACTGGAGAGACGGCCCTCTTTGGGAGAGACGGTCCTAGGAATGGTGGCAGGGCTCGCTGGCTTGCGCTATAGCAATGAAGTCGTGACCTCAACCGATAGGGAAACACGCCCGCTGTTTTTCTTTGCGTGGGGTGGGGCGGTTGGCAAAGCAGTCGAGTTGGATGAGTTGGTTGAGTTCACCTCTTTGGTTCAGCCTCAAACCAAGTCAGCAAAGTAGCAAGAAGCGAAGCTCACCAACATGGACGGCAAGCAATGCTGAACTCTCAGACGGCAGAACGAAGGTGTTCTGAGGGGATGCGCCCTTGTTATCCCCTTTTCTATTGTTTGTTTCCTTTGAAGAACTTGTCCGAACAAATTGAACAAAGCTGCTATGGCCTTTGAACATGTTTTCCCCAAGGCCCCCCTGCACCAAGATCCTAGCGACAAGAGTCCACCAAGATTCAGCAAATCGACCTCCCTTGCAACCACCCTCGCCCTTTTGGAATTCTCCTCATCCCATTTATTGATACTGTTTGCTCCACTCAAAGACCCACCCAACACCCACGCCACGATGTTCGGTTTCCGAGCTCTCCACCGGCTGACCTGGGACCCTGGCCACCCCACCCTGGCCCCGGAGCGCCAGCCACCCAGCGCCACCCGGCCACCCGCCGCGGCAACCGCTCGGCTGAGCCTGCGCCCTGCCAGGCGCTCGAAGAGGCGCGCGCCAAGCTGAAGGCCGCCGAGGAGGCGGAGAGCCGCGCCTTTGCCGCGGCGGTGGCCGAGTGGCGGCGCTCCAGTGGGCCGGCCGCTTGGATAAGAAAGGTCTGGGGTAGGCCAGGGCCTAGGGCCTGGTACAAAATAGGGGTGGATGGGTGGGAGTAAGAACCAGGTCACTTTTGGAGTTTTGGGAGTAGGGCAGGGGTCAACATCAAAGCTGAAGGGAGGAGAAAATATATAAAGGAACTTCTCTCTCACTGCTCCGATCGAGTTTGGGAAGATGAAGCGTTTGATCTCATCTTCCCAGATGCTCTACAGATGTTGGGCAAAAAGAAAATCATAGAAACTAACAAGCAACATTGAACATTGTGCACATACATGTGCATACTATGTTTACTCTCTAACTCTCACTCTAATGGAAGTGGACGGATGGCATGGCCCTGAAAGGAAGACCATGCTCTGAATACCAAATAGGTGGTGCCCTCCCCTTCCATCCAGGGGGGAGTATGTTGTTAACTCATGTTAACTCCTCGATGTGGTCCGGGGAGAGCGAGCCGTGCTTTCCTCCCAGGTGGTGATCGAGCGCGAAGCTGGTGTCATCACGCGGCCTCCAGTGAAAGGCCAGGCAACATCGCTGGACCGGGTGGACTAGGGTGGACGAGACGAGTGGTGAAAGGCTAAGCACGTACAGATGGCGCGAAACAGGTGATTTTGTCCAAGAGGTCCTGAACAGATGGGGGGTTCCAAACCACCACCATTGGGTTCACGATGGGTAGTGCATGGTAGTACTATGGACTCTTGAAACCACTGTAGATGGGGCCTCATGTCTGGCAAGCTGGGTCAACTGACCCGGAGGCGAAGCGGACCCCACAGCGGTTTCCGGCGCAGGCAGTGTGAGGAAGACGCGACGGCTGAAAACAAGTTTGAACAAGGTAGTGCAGCATAGGCTTAGCATGGAGAATATGTAGGTATTGGTGTAGGTGGGATATTATCATAATTGTTAGCATGCATTCGCATGTTCCGATGGACCAACCCGTGACCAAACCAAACCATGCAGTGGCTTGTTTGAAGTGGAATTGGGATCTTTTCATGAGATTTGTTCTCAGATGCCACCGGCCAATGATGGTGCAGACGCAGACGGGCGCGAGCAGAGGCAGTCCAATGTATTGTTTGCCCTGTTTTTCTGGTTGCACAGAAAGAAAGCCAGCAACAAGCATTCTGTTCATGTCAGTCCTGAATGTTGATGCGTTCTTCACCGTGAGCCATTTGGCTTTAGAACAGGTGTCCTCGCTAGGATCAAAAAGCTCGAGACTCTAGCGGCCTCAATTGCAATCCCACAGCGCAGCAGGTTGTTCCACACTCTATGACATGAGCTATCTGCAACTACCAGTATCTACCACATTCGACCATTGGTGTTGAGCGTTTCAAAGCCATGACACTTCGTGAGGCAGACATGGAGGATGGCCCGTCACTTCGTGTGCTATGTGTGGTGTTTGTGATGGCGTTTCTTCGGCCCAGCGACCAATAAGGAGGTTCAAACCAAGCGTCCAATGTTCTTCTTTGACCCCACCTGTACAATGCCTCTGCAACTTCTGCCAATCACATCCAAGCACTCCATCCACCCTTAAATCCACCACAGCTCTTCCGCAAGCGAAGCCTCACAGCCGGCAGGACGCCCGAGACGTGTGCATGTCGGACCGCTTGATCCCCAACCGCCAGACGTGCTGCGATCCGGTTCGACAGCTGAAGCTCGAACGAGACGAGAACTGGGCGCCTCAGAACGGCTCCGCGGAGAGATCTCTGGGGATGTTTTCAGAGCGAACCCTGCCTCCCCGGCCTCCCACTGGCCATGGAAGTGAAGCTGTTTGCCATGCCTTCGACTTCCATGATGGGGAATCAGAATCGATTTCTTTGGGTTTCTTTTGGCCTCTCAAGTCTTGCAACAAACCCTGGCGCATGCGCCAGGTTACCATGAAGTGCTTTCGCAGAACGTCTTGGGGAAGGAGGCCTTGAACAACGTGAAGATTTTGAGCTACCAGCACAAGCCAGCACGTCAAGATCCCCATCTTAGTGAACTGAAAGTACTATACAGCAGCTCAGTATGTTCAATAACTGTTGCTTTGTTAGCTCTTGGATGCTATTGGATGCATCTGATACCTTGAAGATCCTTGAATGATGTGTTTTTTCACTCACTCTCACTTGATGGTTCCCTTCTTCGCCGCCGGAGCCGAGCGCACAAGAAAGAGACCCGAGGCAGCAATCGCGATGCCGGGCACCGAAGCCACGTTCGACCCTCACGACATCTACCCCAGAGTGCCACGAAAGTGCTGGATGCGCCGGGCATTTTGGACGACTTCTACAGTCACCCGGTGGACTGGTCGTCTCAGAATGTGGTTGCGGTGGCCTTGGCAGACATGGCACCTCGGTTGTTTAGTTTTGGAGGTCGGAGGTCCATCCCTATGACTTAGGACAGGTGTTTGACTTATCATGGCATATTCACGTCTCGTGTCATATGCCTACAGAATTGCATCAATCGCATGACGTTTGGACATCGATTCGGTACAATATCTTCGGCATGGAGTGTAGTTAGCCCACATCTGCTAGGGGAGCGTTCGCTGAATCAGGTCTTCTTGTTTGATGCCGCAAGCGGAAGTGTGAAGAAGCTTCTCCAGCTGCCGAATGGCTCCATCACCACCCTTCGATGGACGGAGACAGGCCAAATCACGTACGATTGCGACAGAAAGTCGAAACTTCATGGTGTAAGCGCTTTTCCGAAAAGCGCTTCAAATGCCCCTTTTCTTGGAACAATAGATCATCCAAGTCTAGAAGGCTCCAGATGTTCACACGGTGAACACTTCCCACGTTTTGAAGAGAGGTTGATGTATGATTCATCAATTGAATCCCACTCACCAAGAAAGAGGCATTGTCAATCTTCAACATCTCCCAACATTGCCCAACCTTCCACTTCGGAATTTCCACTTTCACTCCCACCGGGCCTCCTTCGGCCGTTGCAGGTGGGCACCTGAGCATCGGCTCCTCTGCGGGCGAGGTGCAGATCTGGGACGCCGCCTCGCAGCGGCAGCTGCGCAACCTGCGCGGCCACCAGGGACGCATCGGGGCATTAGCTTGGCACAAGCACATCTTGAGCAGCTTGGCGCACACCATTTGGGTGTAGAGGGGGCTTGGTGATGGCGGTGTTCCCACATGTTCCCACCAAGAATCAGCAGTTTGAGAAGATCTTAGGGTGGGGACAATTGCAATGATTCGGACATTGGGACAAAGAGTGGTAGCTGGCACATCCTAGCATTTGTCAGAGAGGCTTGGGGATGTCAGTCGAGGCCTTCAGATCGCATATTTAATATAGGTTGTATGTGTAATTCTCCAGCTTTCCGATATGGGTGTCCGCGACAACCAGGCAGTGGCTGTGCAGATGCGGAAGTTCATCAGCACGATGTGCGAGTGCGGGAGCACCTGGTGAACCGCATGGTGCACCATACCGACTTGGTGTGCGGCTTGGACTACAACTCCGAGGGCATGTTGGCGTCCGGTGGGAATGACGACACGGTGTGCATTTGGGAGACGACGACCTCCCAAACTCCCATACACACCTTTACAGAGCAACTTGGGAGCAGAGATATGCAGAGAGGAACATTGCAGAGCAAGTCTTCAGGGTGATGCTGTTAGTATATTTTACTCCGTTTTGGCCTCCCCTGTTTGATCGGGGAAGCGTTTCCGTAGAAAGCCCTTCGCAATGTCTTCCCTTTTGTTCTTCTGAGCCCCTCCATCCAGGCACCACGCCGCGGTGAAAGCGCTCAAATGGTGCCCTTGGCAACGACACGTCCTGGCCACGGGTGGAGGCTCCTCCGATCGACAGATCTGCTTGTGGAATGCCTCCAGTGGAAGGCTTCTGATGTCCACGAATGCCGAGAGTCAGGTCACCGGCATCTTGTGGGGAGAGCAGGAGCGAGAGCTTCTAACCGCTCATGGCTATTCGAGGAATCAGTTGTCCTTGTGGAAGTATCCATCTTTGGTGAAGGTGGGCGATCTGGAAGGGCACGAGGCGAGTGGGATCGTCAGGGCACGGTCGAAATAGCTGACGAAAAGGAGACAGAAGCTCTTTGTGTATGCTGGTGTGATTCTATTGAACCATGGGAAATGATGGGAAACCATGGGACCCATGGTTCAATAGGGTCAGCTGACCTGACCTGTTTCTGCGGTTTGACACAAATCCCCGCCATTTGTCCTGGCCATCAGGTCCGTTGTGCCGCCAGGGCCGGCCACCACCAACCCCAAACGTAACTAAGCTGTGCGTTTTCACGCAGCCGGGCACCAAACGCACCCAAAAACGCAGCTATTGAAGCCCGCTTAGGCCCCTAACCCTACCCAAACCACGCTTGGTATCCATTGTCCATGTGCCACTCCGGACAGGGCCGACTACTAGGGCTGGCTCAGAGCCCTGATGGTTCCTTGGTTTGCTCACCGTCCGCCGATGAGACCTTGCGATTTTGGAGGGTCTTCTCGGCGAGTTCCAAAAAGCCAGTGGAGAGCAGCAAGAGCAATGGAAACAACATCCTGAAGACCATCCGTTGAGCTGATTTCTCGCACGGGTTTGAGAAATCATTCGTGCATTCCCAGTTTTTTGGTACAATGGTTTCAGCCAGAGCCTGCCAGAAATTGCAGGTTCGGCCCTTTAGCATGTTTTCGGCAGCACAGCCAATATCTCTTGTTCCAGAGGTGGCGCTGGCAATGCCAACATGAATTTATGTGTGAAATGCATTGGAACGCTCATTAATGCACTCAGTGAGAACTCTCGAAAAGCTTACCGGCTTGCATCAATCGGCTACCAGGTGGTGAGGATGTGGGCGAAAAGTTGACACATTGAAAATAGGTGCTCAGAATAATGTAGACTCTTGATCAATAAACCCCGCCGTTTGAATTGGACATGCTCCCGTTGGACATGGTTTAATATGTGTCCAATCTGGGCATCTGAGATTCGGAGTTCTTCTTGGCATTCCTCCATCAACCGCCCGCTCGGTTCTTCGCCTCGTAGGCAGACGTCATCTCACGCGGTCTCAGTGAGCACAAAGGTCTTGCCTTAGAGACGCGGGGAGGCTGCACAATAGGTGTGCAAAAAGGAGAGTGCAAAAGGTGTACCTAGTAGCGATGGCCTCCACTAGCGATGGCCTCCAATTTGAACACATAAGCAGAAATTGGTCTTTCTGCTGGATTCCATGTACTTATATAGATATGTGGCATCCTTGTATGGCTTTAGCCGCATGTGTCACAGACAGTTATACGGCACATGGCCGTCGCCGCATGTGTCGGGCGTCGCATGTTTGTTGTGAAATGCCCAAAGCGACGTGACAAGCGCACGTGGAAGCGACGTGGAGCAACTATCGAAACCTAAGGGACGTCCTGGTGGATTTGAGAGAGATCAGTCCATGTTGGTCTGAAGATAGCAGGATTTGAGAGCACATATCAAAGATCATCAGCGCATAAGGATAGATATGGTGTTTTCATGTGGTTTTGAGCCGTCAGCGCCTCGCTCAGCCCAGCACGGCCACATGGATTCGCGCACATGATTCGGCCACATGGACGGAGCAGGGGGGCCAAGCCACCGCCAGGAATGAGATCTTTTGGGCCGCACCAAGCCTCCAGTTTGAGCACTCCAATATATATACTCAGCTTGAGCAGTCTTGAGGGTGAGACCTTCGTGTGTACAGGTCGAAGGTAGCTCGTTTTTGGATGATTGATGCATCGGGATGGCCCCCACTTCGTGTGTTTGATGGTCTGAGGGCCCAGTATGGTTGCATGATGTTGCATGTTTTTTTTATGGTCCTGATTCTTTGTATGGTCCGGTTGTGCTGAGTTCTTTTTTTCATCGGAGATGGTCCGGTCGTGCTTACGGATTTCCGGACCACATCTCGCCTGCACGATTTCACTTGGTCAGCTCCACGGGTGAGCCGTTTTGACGCAGCTTGACACCCAGGCCCGAGACGCAGCTTTGCTGCGCACGGCGGTGGTTCAGCTCAGCCCGGATGCACGATCGGCTGGGTCCAGGGGTGGTTCAGTTCAAGTCGACCTTCCAACTGCCCCTGGAAGTGGATGGCAATGCCCTGTTCGCAGAGGAAACATGTCTTCCCAGGGGCGACATGCGGAGGCATGCCTTCCACTCTCCGGAGGCATGTTTCAGAGAGTGTATGCCAAGATATGCCAAGGGTAAGGTCAGTTCATCACTTGGATCACTTTGCAACTGCATCACTTTGATTACTCAGCAAATCACCCCTCAAAGAAATCGACTCAGTTCATCCTAAATTCAGAGTTCAGCAAGGCCACCAGCGTGGCTTTGCCTTTGCAGACGAAGCCGCCTTGGATGGCTTGACGGCCGCTGCGGCCTTGTACCTGCAGGATCGGAATCAACATGGTTTTCTGGGTGGTGGCTTCAGATGTTTCTATTGTTCAACCGTTACGAAGAAGATGATTGAATATATATAGATATATATACATATAATTGATTCCACAAGTCTGTCATATATGACTCATATCTTTCGTTTCGTTTTCGCTGAAAAACCACCAACCAACCAGTTTTGATGCTCCGCTGGAATCTTCGAACAGAAGTGAAGTATGGGTGAGGTCCAATCGACCGACCACTGAAGGTCGTTAGATCAAAAAGTCTGCGAACAGTTGGGAAAATGGCATGTGTCGCAATTTGTTCGCTTTGATCCTGGCATATTCATGTATCCATATGTGTATAGATATATATATATATACTAATACACACATAGACATGGTGAATTCCCAGATTTGCCCAGAAGGGCTAGGTTCCTCCCAATGTGCACGACAAAAAGTCCTAAAAAAGACTTCCACGAAAAAGCGACCGTTCACGTTTCGCGTCTCTCTTTGCGTCATGACCCTTGCGACTCGGTGCACGACCCCCGCGTCGTGTCGTTCGCATTGGCCGCAGTGCTTCGCACGCGCGCGGACCTTCCGTTCCAGGACATTGGCTGGCGGTCTCAGAGGCTCGCAGAGCTGGCAGGTCGTTGCAAGGTGCGGTGGTGCGGTGGATGGAAGTGATCCGGGGCTTCGAAGTGAGAGGGGCTTTTGAGGGCTGAGGGTGTGTGAAGCAAGCAAAGCAACTGTTGGGTGAGGTTCGGGGTGGACAAATCATCAAGCTAGGATTTTGCTGCGACTATACTCTCGAGAGAGAGAGAGACAGAGAGACAGAGAGTTGTTTGATGTCTTCCTACTGTAAGGGATTGTAAGGGGGTCGGAGGGCACTGTTTGTTGTCACACACGACAGGTGGTGAGCCTCTAGATCCAGGGTTTCAGGGCTCCTCCCAACCACTAAAGTCACTACAGGTTAAAGATAGGCAGCTCGTCGCGAAAGTCATGCTGAGGCCACTTCGACATGCTTCGATCGTTTTGCTTGTTTGGGCCACAAATCTTGGGCCATACTTTTGTTGATCTTGCAAGACCTTGGGAGCTGGTGGATGCAAGACCTGGCTCCGCACCGGGTTTTGGTCGCTGTCTCTCGCTTCTCGGACCTCCTGGTGGTTCATCACCGGCTTCTCGGTCGACTTGAGGAGGATGAGTTGAGCCGATCCAACCCCCCAAAAGGGAAGGGACATCCAAATAGCTCATTTCCATGTCCATCTATGGAAAAGACATCAGACTTATATAATGAATTTATTTGGCCTAGCCCAACAGCCCAACTATGCCCATGCAAACCCTCAAATGAACAGCTCACAGCTCACTGCCCTCGTTGTAAGGGATGCCAAGGGATGCGAAAGGGCTGCCCTTGAGTCCGGTGGATGTGGATCTTCGGCTGGTCAGGTGGACGTCTCAGACGTGCGGGAGGCCATGGAGGCGCCTTGGCGGAAAAAGAGGCCAAACGAGGAAGGATGACTAGAAGACGATGCTTTGTTGTGTGTGTGCATATGTGCGTATTTGTGCTATATCTAACTACGGGGTGTGTGTGTGAGAGAGAGAGAAGCTACAGGGTGTGCGTGTGTGTGTGCCCGAAGAATTCTGATCGCCTGAGGAATACTGGGCTCATCATCAGCCCCGGGATGCTTCTTGAAGGGAGTTGGAAAACCAATCCACCAAACAGATTCAACAGGCTCCAAGATCAATCCACCAAACAATCAAACCACACCACCAAAACCATCCCGTTGAGTCCAGTTGAATGGCGGCCGTTTTGTTCCAACCACCCACCTGTTGCCACTGAAACCCGCGAACCCCTCAGGCAGGTGATGAGATTGAAGAAGAGGCGGGTGTTTCCACCGCAGAAGAAGAAACCATGGTCGGATCTGGTGGTCTCACCAAAAGCCGGCGAAATCCCATACGCACCAAGAAGCTCTTGGTCAGCTGCATGTTGGTGCGGTAGGATGCGGCAGAATGCGGGCCTGCGCATTTGAACACAGAGGGTTTGAGAGTTCGCTTCTTGTTCCGAGTGTCTTTGGGCAGGATGATGATGAGGAGGAGGACACAAAGTTAGAAGTCCTCTTCGGAAAGAAGAAGGCTTGTTGAATGCACGCCTGCAAATCCACATAATCACTGTAGCATAGAATTTCATAACAGACCCATGAACAAGCTGCGAAGATGTATCCAAATACATCCTCGAAAAATATACTCTGGTGTGTTACCGTACCCTTCCTTCCAAGAAAGAAGAGAACTATGGGCACTGCAATATCATGGAATCTCTACCAACCATAGACTGGATTCAATGGAGTCCAGTCTGTCGCAGGCTCAGCCTTGTCAAGTTGTCGCACAACCGCTCCAGTGGCTGAGGCTGAAGAGGAAGACTTGCCCTTCACGGCGGTGCCGGTCGAACCCTTAAGAGAGGCGTTTGGGTCCATCCAATCCCGATTGCTTCAGATCACCGTATCTTCCTATGTCCACCCTCGGTATCAAGTTCATCACCGATTCATCGCCCAGGGGAAGTCTAGCCCCAAGGCCCTGTCTGGCCCCAAGATCCAGACCAAGTGCGCTTCCCAGGTCAATGCTCTTCCGGCTCCGAGAACGCCGGCTCCGCCTGAGAAAGGCTCCAAGAAGTCCTTGCGGATCAGGAAGCCATCCAAGTTCGTACCGTTCGGCTGGGCGGTGCAACGGAGAGGAGCGGCAGCGGCAAATCAAGCAGCGGAGCTGCTTCTTCCACCCAAGGTCGAGCCCAAGAAGGAGAAGACGGAGGAGAAGTTGGAGGAGGTCAAGGAGAAAGAGGAGAGTGAGAAAGAGGAGAGTGAGATGGAGGAGAAAGAAGAGGGAGAAGAGGAAGAAGAGGGAGAAGAAGGAGAAGAGGAAGAAGAGGAGGAGGACAACGATGATGACCCTACCTACTCTGAGTGAGTCCACCCAAGAAGGGGGACTAGCTGAGGGAAGAGGCCGAACAAAAAGCAACGCATGAGACTGGACCGCAGACTTCAAGTAATAGCCAAGGGCTAGATTGAGATGATCAGGCAGGCAAGAACTACTGCGAAACAACTTTTTTGGTCCTCGGCGATCATGGTTCAAGATCCACAGAGAACCTCCGGCCAATGTACCAACGTGAGAGCAGCAAGGAGCATCGACACATGAGATGCGGCGTCTAGTTCAAACATGGTTACATGAGCAGCCCAAAACAACACCGTTGGCAGGGCTAAATGCAGAACTTCGGCAAGACCTAGCAGGCATTTGTGAGGGTCCTTTCCTGCGCTTGATTTGGAGATCTTCGGAGGAAGTGAGGCCATACCAAGCCACCAAAGAGCGGATTTAGACCTCAAAGTGGGACATGGGGCTCTCGCTCTTCAGAACCGATTGGAACAGTAAAGTAAATCCATTCGATATCCGGTTCTTTTCCATGTGTTTCCTGCTTGAGGAACACTTTGTCCAAACAGATCAAACAGGAAGCCACAGACCCTTTCTGCCCGCAACCATCCCCTGTAGTCCGAACCCGAACCAAGCGTTTCCCCCGGCCTGCGTCGCACCCACTGATCTCCCCCGGCCTCCATGGGTGCCAGCCCGTCTGGCGCGCGCGTGGGAAGCGAAGCATTGGAAGCTGCAAATGCTGACAAGGTGGGAACCTGCGGCTGGGAAGAGGGATCTCTTGATTTCTGAGTGGGGAAATTTGCTTCAGACCCAGAGTCTCAGAGAATCATCGTATCTGGTGTGCATCCCATTTGTGTAAAGCTCTCCGGAGAAGATTCTTCACTTCGGAGCCTCTCAGCCCAAATCTGGTTCTTCCAACATCTTCAAGTGCTCCTTCCATCTTTCAGCAGCGCAAGTGATACACTGATACACATGCTAGCTAGGTGGAAGAAGGACTGTACTGAGCCACGTCCTTGGTCGTCTAGCCACGTCATCCCGTGCCGAGCTCAGGTCTTCGTGTCGGTGGAGGCACCGGGGGCGGACCTGCCAGGTCGGACGGACGGGTTTGGTGGCCAAAAGGAATTCAGCTTTGATCCAACATGGTTTCTACATCTCACCTTATTGAAGGTGCATTTTTGGTTTGAAGGCTTTAGGGATGTTTAGGGTCGGCCCAGTCACTGGGGCCCGGTCAGGACACGTCGTTTTACGGTCGGCTTCGGACCGTTGCAGGTGGTGAATGCGTCGGGCCTCGTGCTGCTTCGGTACGAAAGGATGGTGTACTTGGGTCGTCGGATGACAGAGAGGGGCCCGCATCATGAGGACTGTTGATGAATTTGTCGAACAGTAAAACAAAATATAGTTATCCCGGCAAGAGGCCCCAAACAGTGTGTGTGAGGTCTGGAGGTGTAGTAGCAGAAAGTCTAGAGATCTAGACGCATTGCAGTCCAGAGAGGTGATGGTGGTGATGGAGATCGTGGTGATGGTGGCGGTGGTGGTGAGTGAGTGAGTGACCTGTTTTGAGTGTGAGTGAGAGTGAGAGAGTGAGTGAGCGAGTGTGAATGCGAGTGTGGGTGAGTGTAGTGAGAGTGAGAGAGTGAGTGAGTGTGAATGTGAGCGTGGGTGAGAGTGAGAGTGAGTGCTGTAATCTGCACTTCGAGGTTCGCCAAGTTCTGTACCTGCCACGAAATCTGCACTTCGACGTTCACAAAGTGCTGCGCCTGCCACGAAATATGCACTTCGAGGCTCACCAAGTGCTGCGCCTGCCACGAAATCTGCACTTTGAAGTTCACCAAGTGCTGTGCCTGCTACGAATCTCTGCACTTCGAGGTTCACAAAGTGCTGCGCCTGCCATGAAATCTGCAAACAAGCCACATCTCCAGAAGTCACGACTCACTGCCCGCAAACGCGCGCGGCACCGCAACGAGAGTGCAGTCGCTAGAAGCACCCGCCACGCCCACGCAGATTTGGCGAGCCTGCGCAGTCGAAATGCACGTCGACGACTTCGAGAGGCATGAATACACTGTAAATAGCAGCGAGTTAGCTGCACACGCCCGCGCGGCACAGCGATCTAAGCACAGCTGCTTAACGCCTACCGTAAGAACCCCTAAGTGTGTCCACACTGTTTGGGGAGTCATATACACTATACACACATATCTTTTGTGTGTGTGGGATAGGTATGTACACATTTGCATATGAATCGTATGTATCCACGCGCACACCTAGGTTGACCATTGATATATGTTTGAACTTGGGGCCCGCAATGTTTGTCATGATGACTCAGGCAGTTCAAAGACAATTCAGCTGTTATGGCAGATCCCTAGAGGGGGGTTGCGAATCAAACTTTAACAGTTTATCGGAGATCCTGGTCCCTTGGAAGGCGGCCAAGGGAGCGCAACTCCCTTGCAACTATGTACACACTAGAGGTTCGGCTGAGTCGGTCATGTAGCTTTATGGCAAAAAACTACAAGGCTTGAGGCATTTGCACTACCAGGGCTATCGGGGGATACCTACCGATACGCACATGGTGGTTTTGTGCAACCGCCTGAAATTCACAAGCATTTTTTCCTGCCCTGTTGGTCAAGAGTTCGCTCGTGGTTCTTTGCCAATCTGTTCTGGTCGCGCGTTTGTGGTAGCAAAGGCTTCAGCGATCTCGCGTTGAGCCAGAAGCATGTGCTGAAGAGTCTCTCGCTTGCAGATCTTGCTGGATAGCCCCACTGATCGTTGATCCGGTTTTCGGGATGTTCAAGCACAGTGGCCGTTGTTGGGTGGTTTTGAGACTCCCTTGGTTCGAGAACCGGGGAGGAATTTTCAAGGGAATTCGCATGAATTCGTCACTGGCGAGCATTGGATCACAATATTCAATATTTGCTAGGAGAAAATGAGAAGAATGACAGGGGATCCCAGATTGAAGACGTCTCCGACCTAGACTTGTGGCTGTCCTTATCCTACAGTCCTGGTTCCTTAGAGTGGATGGGTGGCGGTTGCTGTGCGCGTCATCGAAATCGAAGCATTATGACGCTCAGGTTGCCTGCAACTCTGGCTTCTGAAGCGTGTCTTCAGTTCCCAATCGTCGATGAGGCCATGGGGCATGAACCACGAAACGACTGCCCGACCGGCCTTCTCGCGTGAAGCTGCGGCCAGGCCTTCATCAGCTACACCACCGCGGCCAATTGGAGAGGAATTCGGTGTCAAAAGAGCCAAATTCGTCCAATCTCCACACCTTCAAGTGACATGTGTTCAACTGTGTTCCTTGTGTGTGAAAACCCATGGGCTGTCACCATTTGAGGCAGAAAATCCTCACCATCCTTCACGGATCCTGAGCGCCTTGGCCACACAACCTCATGTGCTCCAACAAACCAACAAACCCCTTCTGTTTGGGTGGCCCCAGCATGCCAAAGTAATCTAGGATAACTATGTAAACATGTTGGGAGTTGATCTGAAGGGGCGTGCACTGGTCATTCCATCATGAAAGAATCTTGCGTCATTCTCAGAAAGTCATAGCAAGTCATAGCAACTCACCAAGTCGTTGTCCTGAGGTCTGTACGTTTCCCTGGAGACGGGCGGTTTCCGCGCCTGGCTCTTGGGCCTCCCCTGCCGTTTGACGCTGGCCGCCGCCTTCGCGCCACGGATGTCCCACCGGGACGAGCTGCGCCGCCAGGCGTGCCACGAGGGCCGCGGGACGAAGTGCGGATGGGCTGCGGATGGGCTGCGGCCGCGCAAAGCCACGGTGACCCTGGAAGCCCAGGAGACATCTTAGTTGGGTTCCTGTGCTATGTTTTAACGTTTTTGTGTGTGGGTGTTTGGGTGTTTGGGTGTGGGCGTGTGTTTCTGTGTGTTTTTTTTTCGGGGTGTCGAAGAGCAGCGCGGGTAGGAATTGGTCCTTGAGCAGCGCCAGCATTTTCTGGATGCCATGGAAGCGAAGCAGAAGGAGAAGAAAGGGGACGGAAGGGATGGGGCACCAAACCCACGAGGTAAAGGAAAGAGGCCAGTCACTTAAACGATGCTTGCCGTAGGTTGCCGCCAGCTTGACCCTCAGCTTGCTGCCTGACACAGACAACAGCACGAGGGGGGGGCAAAAAAAACGGAGACAGAAACCCGGGGATCAACATTAATTGGCCATGCCACAAACACAAAAATATCGATGCCCACGCCTGATCGACAAAGATGTCACTTTACATGTGGCGTTCGTTTGGTGAGTTTGGGGTACGGGTGGCCGGCAGCAGTATGTGCCCACCTTGGCTGCCCAGTTTACAGGAGGAAGAGGATCGCAAGGAGGAAGAGGATCGCACTTCTTCCCCTTCACAGGCCTCTTGAGCTGAAAGCCAGCTAGGTTGGAAACCTTCAGAAAACCTGACATGCTGACGTTGGACCAGCCGTTGGGGCCCTGACATCCTGTGACCAACTATTGCGACTCTTGGTGTTCACCACGTGTCTCGAGAGGGAAAATTGAATATGAGCCGTCGGGCTTTTGATTTACTGTACTATCCCTGGAACAATCATGGACGTGGAATGCCTTTGTAGAGGTGCAGACCAGGGTCATCCGAAATTGGGGCCATGCCACTTAACCGACTTAACCATGGCCATCCACTTAACCATGAATGATTTCATTGAGAAACAGGTGGCCTTCCACTTCCGTGTTAGGTCCAGGGAGTGTACCCGTCTTCTACCCAAATCGGCTAACTCCCGGACCCGCAGGCGCCCGAAGCGACCCAGCAAGACTTGATTCCTGCCGGAGGTTCTGCGGCCTCCTCGAAGGCTTGCTTGGGACGGGCTTTTGGGGGCGTGCGTGTGGGGGTGACTGCATAGCTTGGCATGCTGAAGAGGCATTGGTAAGAGTGCTTCAAACTGACATGCTGAAGCACCTTCTTGGTTGAAGCAGAAGATGAGTTCCAGCAGCTTCTCACCAGCCCCTGGTGAAGAAAAGTATATTATGTTTCTTGAGACAGATGGACCCCTGGTTTGAACTCGTGCCCCCAATTCAAAGGACCGCAAGGGTGGTCCGGGCCCCTGAGCCTTGCTTGCTACCTTTCGTTTCATGTCAGTCAGCTTTAGTGCAATATGATGCAGGAAGCATCACATCCAAACAGCAAGGTGCCAGGCATTTCTTAAAATCTATTTTCCGTCCTTGGGTCCGAACCCGTCTGAACCGCTCTCCTCTCCCGTTCTGTGCCACGTCACCCAGACGCCTCCCCTTTGCGCGCGCAGGAGGAGAGCCCAAGCCCATCCCGAGCAGGGGCAGTGGCATTGGAAGCCCAGCGGCACAAGAATCTTCAGAGAGTGAGGAACCAGCCCACGGCTCCAGCTCCTCGGCAATATGATGGATGTAGACGGGGGATGACAGGGGTGTTGGTGCAGACGGGCACACATGCGGATGTGTGTGGGAGGATGTGGGAGCAGAATTCTTTCATACAGACTGGAATGTTGTGAGTTTGTGATGTTGGTTGACTAGTATGATCTACTGTAAGTTGAATTTGATGTGTGTGCGTTTGTGTCTTGGGCCTTTCTCGGAGAAAACCTTCACCCGGCCGCTCCCGGCCGTAGCGAGCTCGCTCGCCTAGCCTCGCCTCTTCGGGCGGCGACGGACCTTCCACTGAACTCAGGTCTTCCCACCTCGGAGCGTGGAGGTTCCAGAAAGCAAGGAGAGGATGTGCACAGTGTAAACCTTGGAGGCCCAAAGGTGTCTCACTGGTGTCTTTGGGCTTTGTCCTTTTGGGGGGTCGGTCACCTTAATTACTTGGGGTGAATCGATTTGTTCATCGGTTCTTGAGGATTTGGGGGGAGATGAGCAGCTTAGGACTGACAGAGCTGGGTTCGGTGATGCCTTTTTGGTACCCCCCTATGGAAAGTGTTCCAAACAATCATGTGGGAAATGGTCCCAAAATATCACTCAACAAAATACGATCCCAAAATATAACTTAAGAAGTTAAAGCACTGTAATTTACAGCAAAAACACACATTGGGTGGGTATTGAAGGGGGGGCACCTCAATATTAATTCTTGGGGGGGGTGTCCCATTGCCTGTAAAAATCGGTAAACAATGGTCAGTTACAGGGAATGGGATACACCCATGGCACGATGCGCCGAACCGCCAGGACACCAAGCGCACCATGCGTTCCCGCTCGGGAGCATTGGCTTTGGAGGCGCAGCGTGCCATTGAGAGGGCGAAGGTCGAAGCGGCGCGGAGGTGCGAAGAACAGGAGCGCGAAGAGCCTGCAGAGGAGCAAGATGAAAGTCAAGATCAAGCGCCCAACGAAGCTTGGCTAAAGAAAAGAATTGGTTTCTTCATGCATGTCGCATGTCACATGCAGTTTTCTGCTTGAGTCGTGTCTTTCTCCAATGTTTGGCACTGGGGGGGCCGGTCAGATCTCACTCTGCAGCCTTCGTCTTTAAGTGCAGGATTCTGCCGCCCTCATTGCCATGCAGGATATTGAGTATCAGAGGACTGGGCTTGGCATGTCTTGGACTGCTCCACTCCTATCTTCTAAGGCTCGGTTTTCACTGCGGGAGTTCGGGAACGACGCGCCAGGAGTTTGCTCCATGATCAGCTTCAAGATCTGCAAAAGGCCCGGCATCCGCATAACAAAATGGGCCGAAGGGAAATTGGACCAAGATGATTAGAACTTGTTCTGCGTTGGTCAATATATTTGGATAAAATGTTGTCCATAGTTGCCCAGCGAACATTTTGACAGAGTTGGGCGATGTGAAAAGCGGCTGTGAAGTTATTCAATTGAGTTGGCTCGTTTTCAGCGGCGCCCCTCAATGTGGGATGAGTTGGCTGACCCCCTTCAACTCTGGTTGGCTAGATGTTGGGGGAGACTGGGTAAAGCCTTGAAGTGCATGCCGTTCCCACCTACTGGTAGCACACCAAACCGCAAATAGACCAAATAATGTGAGCATATCTACTATTTATGACACAAGACCCAGCTAAGCACCACAACTCCATGGGGTGTCGTACACCCGTTGCTTGCGCTCGAAACACCGTCGGAACCACCCAGATCGAGAAGTATGCGCGACGTCGCAGCCGCACGCAGAGGAGCAGGCCAGGAGCGAAGGCTCCAAGAAGCTCTTAGAAGTGGAGCTGCAGAAAGCCACCACACGGCACCACCATGCGCAATCGCGCCTTTCAAGGCGCGAGGGGTGGGTGCGGTGGGGTGTGGGTGTTGGAACAAGTGCGGAGACGTGAGGTGCATGAGCCGTTTTTTAGGGAGAAAACCCAAGCCGCAAGAGCCCATAAAGAACGCTGCTTTTTACATGTCCTGCTCGTGTTTTTCATGTTCGCCAAGTCTACGACCTGATTTCGATGGTCTTGGACGACCTGAAGACGAGATCAAACAACCTGATGACGAATAGCCAGCACAGAGTCATCCAACATTGGACAACGCATCTTTGCGAGGGAGTTTGACACTCGTGCCACGTCACATGCACTTTCAGGTATGGCCTGCAGCTCAGCCGAGACGCAAACGAAATCAGAGAGCAGCTGGAAACAACCATAGGAAGCAGGCAATCCTTGGATATGTGTGCCATCAATCTCAACAGCCTTGGTAACTGGTATCGGACTCAAATCTGACCTCAACCCAGCCCAAATCACAAGCAAAATGACAAATGAAGCGGATGTTCTCCCAAAAACCCGGCAGAGCCCGAACAACTGTCGCACTGGCGGAAGTCCTTCCGCGTCCTTCCTGCTGTCCTTCCCGCGGCGACGTCACCCAGGTGACAACCCGCGGCTCCACGCGGAGGCGCAAGAGGCGCGAGAGGCCGAAGATGTGCTGCGGGTGGAGGTGGAGGAGGTGGCGCAGCGGGTGACGGAACTTCAGGAGCCGAACTTCTTCTTCTCGGTTTCGGGTGGGTGGCAGGGCGGTTCCAGCTTTTGGGGTTCCAGGAAAACTGGGGGTTGGTATGTAGGATGGTGGAGGTATGTACGTAGGTTTTGTGTAGGTGCTTGGAATCACCATAAAGAGGGGGGTTCAAAAGTTGATGTTTCTTAATTGGTCGGCGTGAGAATGTTCAGCACTGGTCAAATGAGACATGAAACCACATGCAACGCACCGACCGTTGCTCAAACCTTTGCTGGCCACGGGGGCCCTTTGAGCTTAAGCAAAAGGCGTGTCAGGGAAGCCGACTGGAAGGTTTGCACCGCCCAGTTGTTGAAACTGGCAGCAGAGCTTTTCGAGTTCTAGTATTTTTCACGTAGCGCTGCTGCCAGACCTGGCGCCCCGTTTGCGGAGCGTTAGCGTCATGGCACTGGAGACACGGAGGTACGGTGTGCTGACCGAAAGACACTTCCAGGATTTGGTGGAGATGTTGGATCCTGACTTATCCTGACTACAAGTTCTCCATGGAAGCACTGGAGAAGAAGGAGCAGACGCTCGCGGATCCCGAGAAGAAAGAAGAAGAAGAAGAAGTTGGGGCTGCTTGGACTGCGCCTGGCGGATAGGCTGGCGGGACCCGCGTTGCAGGTAGCAGAACGCCTTGGTGTGGACCGCCTGGCAGAGCAAGATGGAGCCAAGACCTTGTTGAAGGAACTGGAGAGCCAACTCCTACCTCTTCGACGTCAGGCTGCAATGGAGCTGTACTAAGCGGGGGCAAAGGATGGCAGTGGCATCCTATCAACGTAGTATGGCGAACCCATGAGTTCATGACACCAAGCGAAGGAGACAAGAGGATCCGGCCTGAGGGTGAAAAGCTCAGGAGGCAAGAGTCGTCGTCGTCAAGGTACCTGGAAGCCCTTGCACGGATGTGGTTGGCCTGGGCGGGTCAGCCCCATGTACAAGTTTTCATGGGAGAGCTTGAGAAAAGAGGATGCCAGTTCAGGCTGATGGCACTTGAGGCACCACACGAATTGGAAGAACAGACACGTGGCACGATCAATGGATTCAGTCCTTCACAGTGGATGATTATCCGGGTCCCACTTCGATGTTCAATCGAAAGTGTGCGATGGGAGAAGCAGCCCAGTCGCCATGGGCCACTGAGGACAGCTAGGTACCGAAGAGTCCGAGCAGAAAGGAGGATGTGAAGAGCGCCTTTCGTGAAGGAGACAACGTGGTATCCTTCCAAGGAAGCCGAAGACAGGAGCATGGGTTTGACCGGCTACAATCCTCCCCATTGTGTGGCTTCTGCATTCTGGAATTGAATGCCAACTTCAAGTCGCGGGAGGACCTTCTGCGCAGCCGCCACCAACCGCAGACAGCCCTAGTGAAGCTGGAGTGATGAGGCCAAGAGAGATGAGGAGCGAAAGAGGCAACCATCGTCAGACAGTCAACAGCTGACGCTGGGAAAAGAGCCCTTGGATGATCCCAGAGATCGAACCCACTGCCCTATCACAGGACTTCGCGTGCTTCTTGGCCAAAGCAAGGCCCTCTGGATCGGAGCTCCCTGCAGAAATGCCGCAGTGATGTTTCCCGAGTGAAGGTCATAACCACGACAAGCGGCAAACGACATCAACGCGCACTCCTGAGGCCGTAGGGCAGTCCGTTCGGAAGTTCTCCTCCTCCAAATCCTACTCTTCCGTTTCTCGGGCACACTTGGTCCCCCAGGCAGCTTCTCTTCTGCTTTGACAGCCCCACGAGATGGAACCCCCGTGGAAGGAGAAGGGCCCCTCACTTACATGATTGCCCTCATGAATGTGTATGGCTCGACTCATTCATCAAGGACTCACAGAGGTCGAACCTGCGGTCTACGCATCCACGTCGACCACCTGATCTGCAGGGCTGGAGATCATCGGATGGACGATCTGATGCGAGTGCAAGAACGATTTACGTTCGGATCCACTAATGTGAACAACTTTCGGTTCTGTGGTCGAAAGATCGCGAGTGGAGAAGATTGGACCATGATAGCGTTCAAAAGGTGAAGCCAATCTACTGTACATTGAAGTTGGACGTCAACGACGGCCTCCAGAAGGCGCAAGCAGCCAGTAGGAGCGGCTATGTGTAGGCTTGAACTCTGTTATCAATGCTTTGCCCTCCAAGGACGCAAGAGCAGACCGAGGGTCGAAAGTTTGAAGAACACCAACGCACGAAGGAGAATGGCGCCAGATTCGCGAAGGGCAAGTTCACCTTTGAGGGCGCGGTGCTCTTGTCGGTGAGTGACGCGTCCCAAGAGGCAAGGCCATAGGTCACAAGGAGGGAGGTTCCTCCTCTCGGCACAATGAGGCATGGTGCCATGCGCTGGCGACACTGAAGAGGGTGTGTCGATCGACCTTACAGGCCAAAGTGCTATCGTCGAATCGTCAATGTATGGATCTGAGGAAGCCCATTCAACGAGTCCGAGCTTAAGCTGTACGCCCTGAAGTACCCGATGGTGCCAGAGCGACGCTAAGATTGGAAGATATCGGAAGATCATTGCAGCAGACTCCAAGACCATTTACGGGTTGACGGACTGCAGGTCATACACGGACTACATGGGATCCTTGACACCTGGAACAGTGTCGGATAAGCGTTTGGCCATCGACGTGACATACGACAAGAACTATGGAGAGGACAAGGGCAAGAGATTGGATGTCAGCGCCACACCGGGAATGCCACAACCTGCTGGTGATCAACTATGGGGGGCTCCCAGCACATGGTGGCAGATGCTATGGCCAAGGCTATGAAACGGAACCCGGTGCTGAAATTGATGCAGGACAGCTGGCTGAAGCTGACAGTAAAATAACCGACCAGAGCCGGCACCAGTTGTGGTTTCAGTCCTCTAAAGGTTCATGGGTGTGAGAATGTTCAGCACTGGTCAAATGAGACATGAAACCACATGCAACGCACCGACCGTTGCTCAAACCTTTACTGCCCAAAAGGCGGTTTGCACCTCCCAGTTGTAAAAAGTCGGCTTCTTGGAGTGGAGTGGAGTGGAGTGGAGCTCACGGGTGGATAGTGTGTGCGGTGTGTGGAGAGTGTGCTTGACTCGCGGGGTTTTGTTGCCTTCCTCCGGTCATGGAACTGGGGGCGCATATGGGATCAGGGCAGGATACACCCCCTGGAATCATCATGGAAGTGGAGTGAGAACCACTTGTTTGTAGAGGAAAGTCGTGTGCTGTTAGCTGTTCCTGACCGGAAAGACGTGCCCATCCCGTGTTACAATATGTCCTCGTCCATGAGTCTCTTGCCTTGGGGCCTTGGTTGTAATTGCAATGGGGGTATCTCCCAATATCCGGTCGTCCCTAATCACACTCAGACACGGGGTTTGCATCGAAGAATCAGTCGTAACCACCCACATTGTTTCAACCATGCCGTATCACGATCTTCCATCGCTTGATTGACTTTCCATCGTTTTTGGGGACGGGACTCTCCTCAAAGGAGGTACATCCAAAATAAAGTTTGTAAAATGCAACACCAAGGGTCACGGTCCACGCACAATTCATCATCGTTTTTGGCGGGGGGATGGAAAACGCCACCCCACCCGTCTATTATTCATGGGTGGGAATTTGGAGGAGCTGGTGTCAGAGAAAGAAGAGCTGCTTTGCATGGCCTCCTTAGCTGATGAGGATTGCTGAATCCCAGTCTTTTCCACCAGGGCCAGTCCTGGGAGTCCAAGCCACTCAATGTTGGCTCTTGCGTGGCCCACTGCACAGAAGGCCAAAAGGGGCCGGCTTAGCTGAAGCCAAAAAGATTGAGAGCGGTCAGATGTTGTTCTGTGGGTTTTTCAGTTCCTTTGGCCTGTTCGGTTCCTTTGGGCTAAACATCCAAAACCGTGCACAGTCCACATCTATGGAGTCCTAAAATCCAGAGACATCAAGCTGCCCTGTGACTTTTTGTGGATCTCTCAGCTGCAGGGTTATAGAAATATCATATAGTCATTGGTTCTTGATTTGATGATTCATGGTTTCGTGCTTCCTGAGCTGCTTCCATAGTTTTGCTCCGAAGCTTTCAAGCAGTCAGAAACAGCCACCTACGGCTGGCCGAAGACTTGGATCCATGGCAGGGCTGCTCAATTCAGCATCGCTGATCGCTGGTGAATCGCCAGCAGCTAATCGTCCTCACGACCACCTGAGGACAAAGACACAAAAGGTTGGTGATTTCAACCCGCCTAGAGCAATTCAAAGAACGTTTTCTTTAGTCAGGTGATTTATGGATTTAAATTTAGTCAGGTGTAAACATGAGCTGCTGCTTGAAAGCTGCTTGAAACCCAAAAACCAACAAAGATCAGGTCGCCACCACTCAAAGCCAGTTCCACGAGCGGCTTTTGCATGCAGCAGTGGCATCCGCATGGCTGGGGAGCTTTGATGAAAGGGGAGGGGCGGCTTATCGTGCAGTCGAGATGATCCGGTAGAAAGACCATGACAAGAAGAACAGCCTGGGGAATTGGGCAGGTGAGCCTATGCGGTAGTTGGGTTATGATGGTTGTTGGGTTCTATGAATGTTTCCTACAACATCTTGAGGTGGAGCACTTCCTACAATTCAACCTGAAAGTGTCCGCCCAAACGCCAGGAAGGTTGGTGAATGTATTGTGGTGGTTCGGTGGTAGCTTCATTGGTCTGGAGAATTTTGCATAATGTTTAAACTTTTGCATGCTTCCATTCTGCTAAACTTGTGGCCTCGCATTTAATCATCCTTTGCTGTGTGAGGGCAGGGTTCAAGGAGCATGTTTTGCTCGACTCTTTTCCGCTGTCCTTTCCATACAGCGTGTGATTTCGCTTCTGTTTGCCACCACTGGTTTCACCCAAAGACTGCCGGCGTTCGTCCCACCAGTCGTTGCCCCAGACCGCAGCTTGGCCACAGCGTCCGGTCTGGAGAGCTTGCACTTGGGAATTCTGGGGTCTCGGCGGGTAGATCTTACCTCTTATCTCACGGTTGCAGTGGCCTTCTGCATAAGAGGTACCATCAGAAGGGGTCTCGGGTGACGGGTGGCGGGTGCCGCCTCTTGGGTTGTCCAATGGGCCGAGGTCCATCGCCGCAGAGGAGGATCCGCCATTGCCTGGATCGCCTGAATACGTCGGAAGCGACGTGGCCAGGCTCGCTGCCAGGCGCGAACAGCCTGGCCGCAAGAGTGGGTCCATACTGAACAGCAGACCGCAATCAGAGAAGGGACAACCAGGTGGTGTAAGCAGTTTGAAGATGCGCAGGGTTCAGTCTCAGATTCGTTTTGTAGCCTGCAGCCCTGCTGCTCCCGCTTTTTGCAGGCCTTTCAGCCACAGCTTTCTGGCGCCAAGCCAGGCTGGTTTGTTCGGCTGACCTCTACAAATCCTTGACATCCCTCCGGACCTCCAAAAGAGGGTTCTCCACGTTCGCCACGTTCCATTTCCAGCCCAACACGACCTCATCCCCGGTCGGGTGTACTCGCCAGGCAAGCTCAGTGCCCACAGGGCGTACTGCATCTGCACAGTGCCATGGTTGGATGGTCATGGCCAGGATCATAATGGGATCAGTTAGTGACAGTTAGTGGATCATATGCCCTAGCAATCCAGTCGTGCCTGGTACGACTGGACCCTCCCGGCACCTACAGAACATTGTCTACAATCACCATACCTGGGAAGGTACTTGGATCCCTATAGGGATGGGTGACAAGTGGTGGAAAGTTTGACCCCGTTGTTCTCGCCCGTGAGAGTTGGGCCACCCCATCCAATTCATTCAAGAGCCCTTTTGCAATGAATTAAGGGTGCTTTTTTTTGTCGCCATCAAGGAAAATCTCATGTGTGTTTTTGTTGTTTCCTTCATGATTCATGCAGTTCGAATCATTTCATTGAGCTCTCAAGACCTTCCATCTTACCACCGTGACGCGTGTCGTGTCGCGTGTGGAGCCTGAGGCGCTGTCACTTGCATCAGCGGGCACATCCTGGGTGCCAACGATGCGCGGAATGGAAGCGCCATGGAAGTGCTGAGACGGAGAGTTTTCGTCACGCCAAGCAGAGACCACACCAGGCCCGTCTCAACACGATTTCCACACATTGATATGTCAATATATACAGTATATATATATATATATGTGTGTGTGTCAACATAATTTGTATATGTCAAATATACATACATAATATATATATATATATTTCAACTTATTGTTTTTTGGGGGTGCAGCAGGTTGTTTGAGTCAAAAAGGCCAGTGTACAAGTGATGCTTTTGTGCACACTACGTATCTCGCTGACTCGAATGTCATCAAGTTATCGGCCCTTCACTCAAGTTTGGGGGAACACACTTCAACTAGAATAAAACAAAGAAAAAAACAGTTTGAAACCGTTGTACAACAACTATGTGTCATTGTTTATTTCTTTTGGTTCGACGTGGATTTGGGACCTTGTTGAGACTGCCAGGAGGAGAACCCTGAACGGGAGCCTATGAGAGGACCCCAGCCGAATGGCTGTAGCCAAATGAGCCTAGCTGCTCTACCAAGAGCGAGTTGCCTCTCATGTGGCTGTGGGGCACCACCTCGAAACGATTCCGAACCCCGGAAGGTTGACCTTCCAGTTACATAGTCGATTCTAATGTTCAGGCGTCCAAGGTGGCCCAGTTTGGACGGGACCAGAACGACGTGTGCAAGAACGAGTACTTGGTCCGGTCCGGTTCCTCAAGGGACTGTTAGTTTTTGGGGAGGCCTGGTAGGGCAAGTCAGGACGTCCAATCCAACCGGTGTGACGATGTGAGGATCCCTTTGTCACATATACGCGAACCTGTTTGGTTCGCGTGGAGAACAGCTTTGCAAGGGGTTCTGAGACCCATGTGACTGAAGAGAGTCGCTGCTTTGGGGCATATCGATCACCTCAAAAGGGTGAAAAGAACACTCAAAGAACCAACAAATGGTGAGAAGTTGTGTATGGCACCTACAGGATGAACACTGACCCCTTTACGGGAGCCATTGACACTCCTTGAAATCGGCTTCGGGCCTCTTCGCAGAATGAAAACCACCTGTTTGGTCTTCGTCTTCAGCTCATGACCGTCATGAGGTCGTTTGTTTCGGAGGCCGCGGGTTCTGCAGGAGACGAGGACTGGGAGCAGCAGTTGGGCTTCAACACGCGGCTGCAGAGCCAAATCTTTCAGCTGCCTGGACTGCCCCGATGTGGGAGAGAGGTCCTGAGGAGATGAAGGAGATGAAGATGATATGAAGGAGGAACTGAGGTCCTGAACAGCCAAAGAAGACCTGTTTCGGGGAATGTTTGGCATGTGTTAATTGATGTTTGTCGTGGAAATCGCATCGATTTTCCAGTTCAACTGTTCCAGGAAGGTGAGTTGATTCATGTGTTGGACGGTGGTCCTTGGCCGCTTTATGCCGTTTTGGGGTTGCTTGGACGGGCCCGCTATGAGTTGCATGATGTATATAACTGGGGTGTGTCCTGTAACAGTTAGTAAACAGTTATCACTATTTGTGCACAAGGCCTTTACTACAGTAAGCATCATCATCCACTGTTACAGGTAATAGGATAGACCCAATATATAACTTGTTGACTAGAGCTGAGATGTTGAAGGCTTGAAGATGTGTGTTCTCAGTTCTCAGGTGCTGTGTCGCTCAAAAAGCGCGCCGAGGTCGGACTATTTCAGAAGCATGCAGCACCACGTCACCAACGCTTGACACTCGGGACGACCCACTTCACATTGCGCGCGCAGCCCTTCCTGGCCGCAGTTTCCCCCATGGATTTTCCGCAATGTTCTCACAACCCTGAAAAGTCATTGAAAGTCCACGATGCCTCATTTTTCAGACCATCGACCTTTGTGGGAATTTCACGGGCCACTCCCCGGTCAGCAACGCGTCCGCATGGATTCCCACGCAGAAATGCGTTCGCATCGTTCCTCCCTCGTCGAAACAAACACCAGGGCCTCCCACCGAGCCCGCTGGGGCCGGCAACCGCTCAGAGGTCGAATCCCTGGTGGAGGAGATTCTGACTCATGCAGATCATGTTGGCCTCTTGGGACGTTCGGTGCTGGTTGTTCTGTGTCTTTTTTCCTTCAAGCACGACTCACCCAGGGCATCAAGAAGACGGGACATGTGTCGTCGCTGCAGGCGGAGCCCTACACACCGAATTCGAACAACACCATGCCTTCCACACTCCTTTGCGCTTCCGCCACAATTGGTCTTTGATTGGGGTTCACCCCTCCTAGCAGCCAAAGAGATCAGCAGCATCTGTTGCAGGGAGGCCTGTTGTAACCTCCACTACGTGTATCCACCCGAATTGCGTGGGGGGTGGGGGGAACCCAATTTCCACCGCTTGCTGCTCGCCGTTGTGCAGTCATGCAGTCGCAATAAATTGTGGCAATTTGGTTTGCCATGGTTCGAAATTCGTGGCAGGTTGCGTATGCCGCCTGGCCCAGTTGCAGCAAGTGGCCCCAGTTTTTGGGATGCATGCCCTGGAAAAGCATGATGGATCATGAATCATGAAGGGAGATCATTCAGCTCTTCAACCTGCATGTGCTTTTGTGATTCAGTATGCCCCTCCCTTGTGTTTTCCGGATGTTTCAGGATGTGTACGACCGGTTTGTCTAAGAGGGGTTGTCCAAGAGGCCCGTCCATTCAGAAATTCTCGCAGCCCCCCCCTCTCCCTGAAGAGGGGAGGCACAGGTGCCGCGGAAGTGGTCGCCCCGGCAATCCTGGACATATCACGAAAGGTAGCCCTTTAGGGGATACCTTGAGTTTGTCTTGCGAAGCAAGTGTTGGGACGTCCGGGTCTAATAATTGATCGCTCAATTCAGACCCCCCCCCCCCCCCCCCTCAAATTATTTTTTTCATAACAACCCCCCCCCCCTCCCCCCCTCTAAAATCAATTCTCTCCTGGAGATCGTCTTCGTGAGCCTCTCATGATTTCAGGATAGTTGAAACCCTCTTGAACATTCAGAAAGAGTGAATATGAAATTCTAATCACGAAAGGTGTTCTGTGAAGCGCGTCAATTCTCTCCTGGGGAGCGTCTTCGTGAGCCTCTTATGGTTTCAGGATAGTTCAAATCCTATGATGTTCCGATTCAATGCTCACCGATGATCTGAGCCATGGGGCAAGTTTGTTTTCCTAAGAATCTTTTTGAACATTTCGAGAGCACATGTTTGAACATTTAAAGTGTATATGAACATATATGTACGAAAGGTCGCCTCCGAGGGGATAAATCACCATGTCGAACATTGCATTTTTGTTCCTGCCTCTCGTGTTCTCTTCTCTTCCCGCTGTCCTACCTTTCGTGTCTCCCTCCTCTCAAGTCTGGAGATAGAACATGTCACTGAGAAGACCAGTTTGCAAACGTGTTGGACATATGTGCACATTGGACATATGTGAACATTGAAGCCCCGTTTGCAGCAATTTGGGATTCATGCCATTCCTTAAGCTAGTGAGACAGCATGAAGGAGGCTGCTCCGGGCTCACCACCTGCTCCTGTGAAAAGACTAGCTCTTCACCCCGTGGCATATCTCAAGCATCCTGAAGCTTGGGCAGAAAGCAAAAGACAGGATGCAGCGGTCACGGTCATTCGAGCATGGCCTTGGTCCTACTCAAAGAATCTAATTAAAATTAAGAGATATCAATTCTGACATGAGTGCGGGCTGCTACTTGTAGGGCCGACTGCAGAACTGGAAGATCCAAGGACACACATATAATATATTCACACTTGCAGGGAGCTTGCGGATGCAAGTTTTATGTTCACTGAAGTTCACAAAATGTCCCACCGGGACATTTTGGCTCAAGTTGGTAGCAATCGCACGCAGGATTGCACCTGAAGGTTGGGAAGAAAAACTTCCTTGGACACTCCCTAGTACATTGGTGATTTTTGACGACGCAATGGCGCACCCAATGGAACCGGAGTATGTCATGATCGAGTCCGTGCGAGATGCCCAACCGGACGTCGAGGATGGCACCACAATCAGCAGCCCAGGCATGGAGAGCCTGGACGCCGCTGCAGACGCAGCATCCACAGCCCTCCGTCACGCGGAGGCGGAAGGTGCAAGAGGCTTAGCCGTGTTTGGCCAGCCTGTCTTAGTTTCTGAGCTGGATGCTCAGGAGAAGATTCGTGAACTTGAGCGCCACTTGGAGGCCCTCAAACTCCAGATTGCCGAGCGCGAAGACGCAGACATGGGTGTGGACCTCCTGGGCCTGGAGAGCCCGGCGGATGACGGCGCTTGCCAACCCCCTTCTGCTCCTGGTGCCCCTGGCCCAGCGGCGGAGGGGGTGGCTCCTGCTGCTGTGCTGGCCCCGTCGACGAGCCCTACTACACGATCAGCGGCAGCGGCCCAGCCTTCTATGCTGACGGCCATGGCGGAACCCCCTCTGGCTTGGCCTGTTGCGGCGGAGCCACGCCCTGCGGCACCGGACAACCAGATGGAGGAGGCCACCACTGAGCGCCCGGGCTTAGGTTTCACGCCCCCTGCACCTGCAGGGTATGTTAGTGACCCGGTAGATGCCATGGCGGCGGATGCTTTGCCGTTGACGCCCCCGGCGAGGGCACAGGCACCAGAACCTCCGAGACCTACCAAGAGGCCGGCTCCGGAACCTATGGAGGAGCCTACATCCAAGACACCTACCCTGCCGGGTTTTACCAGGGCCTCTTCAGCCACACTGGGCGCGATCCCCATGCCAATCAGGTTCCTCCCGGTGACGGAACCGGAGAACCATGTCCGGTTCGCAATGCTACCGGACTCCTTCCCGCCCATTCCGGGCCACTTGGCGGGGCTTCTCACCTCTTGCTCCGAGAAGGAGATCGTCCAGCTCTTCGACCAGTTCACCGGCTACCCTTTGTCAACACCGGTGGTCACCCGCATCATTGAGCAATACCTCCCCTTGCGGGCGATGGCCATGCAGGAAAAGATCTGGACCCAGCGGTACCAGAAGGCCACCGACAAGTCCGGCCTGACCGACCAGAAGGGCCTCCACTTGCCTGGAGGGGACATGCCCTTCCACCCCATGTGCGGCAAATGCATGACGCCTTGGCCGGACAACGCCACCCGCTCCTGGACCTGCAAGCATGACCAAGCTATCGAGTACCAGCGGCCTACATCCATCATGGAGGTGGGGAATGAGACCTGGACTCTGCTCTACGAGGCCGGGAGCCAGTCTGGCGACGATCTGCTCCGGTCCAGTCTATGTCAGGTGCCCCTGGCCCTGAGGCGACTGGCATGGACCCTGACGCGGAGAGGAACTTCAAGCTGTCACACTCCATCGATGGGAGCCAGTTTGCCCAGGCCCCGGCGGCCACGTGCACTGAGGAAGAGCGGACCTTTGCGGATGAGGTCCCTTCAGTCTGCCAGGTCGCCATCACCCCCACGGAGATCTCGGCCTGGCCGGAGGACCTCAAACACAAGCTGGAGCGGGGCCTCTTCTGTCCGACTGTCTCCCTGGACTGGCACCAGGTCCCGGACCCCACGGACATGCTCCAGCACTACCTCCCGGCGATGAGGGCACTGCAGAACGGCCATCTGCAAACCCCAAGCTACTGGAGGAGATGCCCGACCTCAAGCACACACTACCACTGCGGCATCTGGGGAGGCCGGTGCCGATGGCCCAACGGTGACCGGCCCTGGCATGGCAATGCTCAACGAGATGGACGAGGAGGCCAAGAAGCTGGCCATGCTGCTTTGGGCTTTGAAGGTGCACCGTGGCGAGCTCAGAATGTTTGGTGGGGTATGGCGCAGGGTCCCTGAGTTCAGTCCGCCCCTCCCGGACTGGGCCCAGCCAAAGCCAGGGGCACTCACGCCCAAGGAGGTCGACCGCTACAGAGCCCTGGAGCGCAGGACACGGCAGCGGCCTGAGCGGCCATTCAGTGAGCGAGGGTGCCGCGGGTGAGTGGGCCTAGACCGTTTTGTCTCACCCCATTTTGCATCCATTTTGAGCTCTCTGCCCATCCGTGCTTGGACGCCGTAAGTGTCCTCCCTTAGGTCCAGGTGCCCATTGGCCCTGAACCGGGGGGGAACACCCGGTGGGGGCTATGGTGGGGCGCCTAGACGACCGTTTTCTTGCGCAAAGAGGTGCGTCGTGGGAAACGTTGAAATTGCTTGCCTTTTGACCGGTTGTGTGAGACAGCTTCCGTGTCTAGCAGCTGCGGTGAATGGGAGCGAAACTGACCACCCCTCTCCTTGTTTCCCTTGTTGACTGAGCCTTTTTGCCCCCTACTCTGATGGTTTAGGCTTCGTAGGGGAAGCCGGTTTGTTTCTGGCGATCTCTGACGCCATGAATTTTACTAGTGAGGCCTTCCTGAATCGCACACCTTATTGCCGTGCCTGGGACTCGCTGCCCCGCCATATTTTTGACACCCTGGTGGACGAGGGATTTTCCCCCCGCCAAACTGATGGAGAGCTACTGGTGGTGGCATGCTTGCGGGTCGGCACCCGGACGAGTCCCTGGAGCTGGGGGGCCAACCTGCAACGGTCTTTAGGCCTTTGGTGTGGGGCTATGACCCTGATGATCCGGACATTCACATGGTCCCGGAGGATTACCTGATGGCGCTGGTGACAGCGGCCGCAGCGCGCCTCCCTCAACCAGTGGACCAGGACGACTTGGAAATGATCAGATCCACCTTGTGGGATCTGCTGATTAAGGTCACTCAGGGACCCATGACCACTACATATGGCCCTCTCCAGTACGCCTACGACCGACGAGACATGCAGACATGGCACAACCGCAAGAGCCCCCCTCCATTGCTCCAGCCGGAGCTCCTCAAGTGGCGGCACTGGCGCCCCGGGCAAGTGGCTACTCTGGAACCCACTACCCAGCGGGCTCTGGAACTCCATCTCCGGAGCAGATGGGCTGAACGCCTCACTGCTCACTTCGCACCTTATGCAGAACACCTTCCAAACCTGGAGGCGGTCATGCGGGATTCTGACTTCCGCATGGAGCTGAAGCACCTCCTGGGCGATGCTAGGTTCCGCTCGATCCGGCAACATTGCCTGGTCTATGAGAACCTCCGCAGGCGAGGATTTGTGGCGATTCCATGGAGGGAGTCGGACGTCCGAGCTCTGCTGAACAAGTTGCAGATGGACGAGATCTCGCCCTACAAACTCCAACAGATTTGGCAGACCCTGAACTGGTTGTCCAAGATCTTTGGCCTCCTCAAGGTGGACGAACACCAGCGCTTGGTCACCAAGAAAAAGGCCCTGGAAGAGGAGCTTGCCCCCACGGTGGTTCGCCCCCAGAAGAAACTCACGGGAAGTGATATGGGCGCTGGAGGAAGGCGCGGCGCTTGGGGGACCCCCTGGTGCCCCTGGCCCACCGGCCCCAGCGCAGGCAGCCTTCATTCTGGGCTTTGCCCGCTTCCAGGTGGGCTGCAGTGCCCGCTTCGATGACCTACAACATGTCCGCCCGGAGGAACTCCGGACCACCTCCAATACCATTGAACTCCAGGCCTG